TTCTCCATCCCGTAACCTCAGCATCTCTACACACAGCTAGACAGCTGTCATTTTATGTAAAATATTGACATATACTAACAGAACCACAAAGGAAAGTAGTGATTGAATGCTAGGCTTACTCTTCTTCCTTAACGGGATTCTTGAACATCCAGACACAACCCACTGTATGTTTTTGCTGAGTAAAGGAAATACCCTGGCTGGATCACTATCGTAGAGTTTAAACCGATGAGAAGAAACAAACAGTGAAAACTGCATATTTGCTCTGCAAATTCAGAACACTAAGACAGTAGCTTCTGATGCAGAGACTCTCCCCAAAAAAACATACTGACCAACAACTTTATAGCCTCACCAGTCTTTGCATGCTACTACTGCTATTTGAAGTTCTAGCTCCCCCAGTAGCTGCAGAGCCACTGAAGCAGAGAAAACAAGACTTAGGCTCTTGTAGTTTACACTACTCACAAAAACCCCCAAAAATATCTGAAGGCAATCAGGAGTTAGGCCCAGGAGACTCCATTCAGTGGGAAGGGGGTGAAAAAAACCAAAACACTTTTGTGACACTTAAGAGTTCTAAAATGTATGTCAAAGAACTAGGACAGAAACCCAGAGATGAGCTTTCTCTTCTTGGCTCTATCACTTGCTGCTCATTTGTTTCAAGGGACCCACCTCTATATTACCAGGTTGCCCTATCCCATTTATTTTTTTTAGCAGATGGGGAAAATAACCACCTGCCTCAAAGAGCAAAAAATTAGGCAACATCAGAAAGCACCAAGCTGCTCACAGACAACTGTAAACAGAACTTTCAAGAAAGCAGAAGTCTCAGGTCTGAGGCTTCAAACAGCACTCTTCCTGTTCTTTTTGCAAGTTCATGCACCACAAGTCTAATGGCGTGTGAAAGATCTCCTGAATTCTGGGGCAAGTGACTGTAACAGCAGATTGCAGACACTGTTTCCTCATTAACACAAACATGACAAAAGTGACCCGAGTGGTTTCTTGCTTGCTCAGACACACCTCAGCCAAAGGCCTACAGATAAGGGGGCGCATTTCTTCGCAATAAGAATTACTATTGTAAGTAGTTAAAATGAAAGCAGTCTCAGAAGTAGATAAACACCACAGCACAAATCCTGGGCACAACTACTTCAGGTCTTACTGCTGGCTTACTTGTTAGCTGTGACTTCACAAAGAAGAAATAACCCATCAAATGCAGCTGGCAACTGAGGGTGCACAATCATCATTTTATTGTTTAGAGCAAAACTTATGAAATAGATCACATTTTGTGGAAACAAAAAGCCAGATTTCTCTGCAATGGAACACTCTCTCCTAAATAAAAATATTTATAGGAAGTCACACAATCCATCATCTGATGGATCATGTCTGAATACAAGAGCACCAACACATCTTGTTTATTTTGCCATAAACCCCCAGAATCTTATGTATTACAAGTATCCAGTAAAACAAAGACCTATCCCATGACCACAGAAGGGACTTCTCATAACAGTTAACTGTGAAAACTAAAAGATCCACCTAAGAATTCACCTTTAATTTAATAAAGTTACTTTAAGGCAAGTGAGAATCTGGTCGTGATTATTATTAGACTTGCCTGGTTTGCATAAACATTTTCATCTTCCAGTACTGAAATATTCAACTTATACCATGGTGTTTGAAACTTTCATACAAAGAGCAAAAAAAAGCAGCAGGCTTTATCTTCCTTATATGCTATTTTCACCCAAAGTTTTTCTATATGCCACTATTCAATTCAATCTTGAAAAGGCATTTAAATTCACTTATAACTGCAACCAGCCCAACAAAAATGAACCTCCAGCACCTTTCTGTACATGAGTCGCAGATCCAATCTATTCAGATCCTTCAGCAAGTTTAGGCCCTAAACTTCTAAAGAACCAGAGGATTCTTTAGAAAGGCATGTTACCATGCCACACAGCACTGAACGTTTTATTCGGCTCCTCTTCCATTCATTTAATGACTATTAAGCCAAAAGAATTTAAGAGGGAAAAAAAAAAAAAGCCCCACAGAATGGAGAACCCTGAAAACCCTCGGCAGGCAGGAGACGCTCAGTTCGGACACAGCTGCTCGTACCCCCTGGCAAGTTTAAAAGCACCGTTACGATTAAACGGCCCTTAGGTAGCAGAGCAGGTGCTCCGTGCTACCCCTCCACGACAGAGCCACTGACAAGTTTCCCATCGCTGCGGCCCCCTCGGGCCGCCCCGCGGGGAAGGCCGGGCCCGCCCCAGGCCGCGGCCGTGTGGCGCACTCGGTAAAGCGCCCGCCCGCCGCCTGCTCCGGGCTCCGCGCACAACACTACCGCTGTCCCGCGAGCCGCCGCAGGGCCCGGCCGGCTAGCGGGGCCCCTCTGCTTCTCTCGCCGCCACCCCGGGGCTCTGTGCCCGCTGCCCCGGGCCCGGTCGCCCTTTGTTCCAGCTCGCGGATGCCGGCCCCG